CGATCAGTCTCCCACTATCACTAATTCTGTTAAGACCTGGGACAGGACTGGTCCCAGTTAACCAATGCTGGTCGTAAAAGACAAGTGAGTGAGTGAGTTTGGTTTTAAGCCGCTTTTAGCAATATTCCAGCAATATTGCGGCGGGGGACACCAGAAATGGGCTATACATCGTACCCATGTGGGGAATTGAACCCGGGTCTTTCAGCGTGACGAGCGAACGCCTTAACCACTAGGCTACCCAACCGCCCCTATTAAAAGACAAGAGTGGATCCTTTGGTTAAGTTTGGCTCGGTGTCTTCCATGATTGGGAGTCAAGGGGCAGCGAGGGCCGTTGTCTTCAAGACCAACGTCTGGTTTGTCTGGTCCTGGCTTGATAATTTACAGTCCGCAGTGGTATACCAGGGGCAACGCAGTTTGCGGCTTAAAACAACATTCACCCCCTTACTCAAATACCATACACATATACCTATACACCAACAGAATTTACAAAATGTCGTTACTATGCATAGCAGCTATTATTAACCTTACAGAGCGGGTGAGTAGCTTTGTGGGTTGTTTAAGCGTAGGCTCGTTACGCCGAAGACCCAGGTTCGATTCCCCTCGTAGCTAGGTATGATATGATAATTTGATTTCTGGTGTCCCAAGCAGCGATGTTTCTGGAATATTGCCGAAAATAGCGTAGAAGCATTGTCAGTCAGTATTGGACCTTACAACTGAAGTACTTCAATAATTGAACCGGGTCGTCTCCACGAGTACCCCTCTGGTGATATAATGACGTAGTCTGGGAAATGAAACCGATAGTTACGAAAGATACCCATTAATGATACCGTCTACGACTATAAGTAAACAGCCATGGATAAAAATATGCATTAATGTTATCAGTCAGTAAGTAATTAAAACTTTACCGCATCGGCATTAGTCTGTCTCACACTCCCTGAACCACAGGGGACGGTGGGGTAGCGTCGTGGTTAAAACGTTCGCTCGTCTTGCCGGAGACCTGGGTTTGATTCCCCACATAGACACAATGTGCGAAGCCCATTTCTGGTGTCCCCCGCCGTGACATTGCTGGAATATTGCTAAATGCGGCGTAAAATCATACTCACTCACCCTGAACCACATTATTTCCCTACTGTCCAGCCCTCCGTGCAGTGCTAAAGCCCTAAATGAATCAAGTCTAGATTTCCTCAGGTTCTGAACCTCCCATCTCACCTGGGTTCCTTTTCAATTTACATGGGTTTATTTGTTACTATAAAATATTTAGAGACTAAAGCCGCTTTTACATGCACAAATTTACTTTCAGGAGTATATTTGCTTATGTAAGTAAATCGACCATGTAAACGTCACAAAACGAATTTACTCACGGAAGTATTTTATACTCCTGGAGTAAATTTACACCTGCTCCAGAGGTAAAGTAAAAGTATATTTTCTCCTAGAGTATTTTACTCCAGGAGCAAATTGACCTTGTAAATGGCACTTAAGAGTTAGTCGATCGGCATCATTTCAGTAATATAGTAAACAAGAATCAGAAATCGGGATAAAAAGAATTCATTTATTTAACATCACTGACTTTGTACAAGTTGCTATATACAGTGTGGGAGGGAGTTGCGTTTTACGCAGCTTTTAGCAATATTCCAGCAATATCAGGACCGGGGCATCAGGAATGCACTTCATACATATCGACCAAGTAGGGAATCGAACCCTGACTTAGCCACGACGCGTTAACCACTAGGCTACCCCCACCGCCGTACACACTGGATCATATGTCCGTCGCAAAGGTGTACCATAGTTCAACCAGTACCAACATTAATCACGAAATCCGTCGTGAAAAGAGTCGAAAACTATCAACCCCTCCGTCACAAAGAACGCATTTAAAGAGGTCATTTCTTGATGGATGAGAGGGGAGGGGCAGTCAAATTCGATGTTGGAAATATTTATAGTTTTGATACGAAGAATGTAGTTACCTGTGTCTAAAATACATGTCAAATATAAGGTAACGTGAAGAGAATCTGTAACGCAGCGTTCAGGTTTACTGCACTTATAAAGCAACGTGCATGAATACGCCTGCGTGTGTGAAAACATGCGTATGCGTGTGTCTTCTTGTACTAGATTAAGCCCTTTTGGCGTAGTAAATGCCACAGGTCAACGTAGATACCCCATTCAAACACAGTATATTGACACCGGGAAGACCAGGCCTTGGTTTAGGACTCTTAATGAGTGAGTGGGTTGGGTTTTACGCCGCTTTTAGCAATATTCCAGCAATATCATGGCGGGTGGACACCATAAATGGGCTTCACACACTGTACCCATGTGGGGAATCGAAACCGGTCTTCGGTGTGACGAGCGAACGCTTTAACCACTAGGCTACCCCACCGCACCAACATTAATCACGAAATCCGTCGTGAAAAGAGTCGAAAACTATCAACCCCTCCGTCACAAAGAACGCATTTAAAGAGGTCATTTCTTGATGGATGAGAGGGGAGGGGCAGTCAAATTCGATGTTGGAAATATTTATAGTTTTGATACGAAGAATGTAGTTACCTGTGTCTAAATACATGTCAGATATAAGGTAACGTGAAGAGAATGTGTAACGCAGCGTTCAGGTTTACTGCACTTATAAGGCAACGTGCATGAATACGCCTGCGTGTGTGTAAACATGCGTATGCGTGTGTCTTCTTGTACTAGATTAAGCTCTTTTGGCGTAGTAAATGCCACAGGTCTACGTAGATACTCAATTCAAACACAGTATATTGACACCGGGAAGACCAGGCCTTGGTTTAGGACTCTTAATGAGTGAGTGGGTTGGGTTTTACGCCGCTTTTAGCAATATTTCAGCAATATCACGGCGGGGGACACCATAAATGGGCTTCACACACTGTACGCATGTGGGGAATCGAAACCGGTCTTCGGTGTGACGAGCGAACGCTTTAACCACTAGGCTACCCCACCGCACCAGGACTCTTAATGCAGAACACCTGGAGAGTGTAATAACAAGAGGTGAGCAAGTGAGTATGATTTTACACCGCTTTCAGCAATATTCCAGCAATAACACGCCTAAAATAGGCTTGACAACGGCACTCACTTAGTCAATCGAGCAGGTGCGCGTAACGACCGAACGCCTTCACAACTAGGAAACCCCGCCGCCCCGTAACAACACGCATCATCGTTTAGCCTCATCTTTTTTGGTCTGATGCTGCCGGAGATCGAACCACGAACCACGAACCTTCCGCTCTTCCGTCAGACGTTCTATCAACTAGACCCACAGAGGCGGGCGGGGTCCCCGAATAACCGCACATGAATTGGATTACGACTAAATAATCCTAAATATTACACCGATTTGACTTGTGTTAACCAGCCCGTACATCACCTTCTACATGAATGCACTATAAGCTCATGGATGCAATAAACAGATAGCAGTATTCCAAGCATGAGAACAATTTTCTGTTAAAGGGATTTCTCCACGAGCATACAGAATCCTGCGATGCTTAGAGCACCACGGTGTGACTTCAATACCACCATGCCATTGCCAGTCTTCCGGAAACTGGGTTTATCAAGTGTGTGTATATTCATGTAAACGCTTGGTGATCACATTCAACAAACATACACTCGTAAACTGCAATTTGATTTGTAAGATTTGCCTAGCCCACTCCAGTCGACGTCGTTAGTTAACAATTAACGCGACGCTGTGCCGTGGGCTGTTATCAATGCTAGATATTGAGCGACCTCGGACTGCCTCTACCTTGTGAAGACGGCCCAGCGCGAGCCGCGTGCAGCTCGTGGCTCGTGCGAGGTTAGCTTGTCTGTGACAACAAAGCCAAACTTGACACAATGTAAACAAACAATCGGAAACGCGGAGAATTATTAAACAATATGAAAGTATATCGATACATAAACCACATATGCTTGTTTCACATGACGTCCGGGGTTTGTAAGAACTTTGTAAGCATTTATCACATGTTATTGAAGTTTGATAATATCATCTAACATAACAATGTTTTAGTACAAGAGAACTAAGATTTGTAGTAACAGTCACAAGTTATTGAAGTTTGATAATATCATCTAACATAACAATGTTTTAGTACAAGAGAACTAAGATTTGTAGTAACAGTCACATGTTATTGAAGCTTGATAATATCATCTAACATAACAATGTTTTAGTACAAGGGAACTAAGATTTGTTGTAACAGTCACAAACTACATACAAACATTATCCGTTCCATCTCGACAAGGTGTTTAGCAAACATTTCATATGTATATTTAGACAAAGTTGCAAAAAATTAGCACTTCTAAACGATTATACCGTTGCTCATTTTGACATCACGAAACATCGGTACCTGTATGCAATGAGAGTTGAACTGTTATTAACTTAGATGGAAGTTTAAACAAGTCAACAATATGCAAAACCTATAAAAGTGATGCTATATCAACACATGTAACACGAAATAACTGTTTTCATATATGTACATATCAAATTTCAAATGTACTAACTTTTTTCAGTGTAGACTTTTGCAAAATGTTTTTATCGTAAATACAGATTCCCGAATGCATGACGATTTTCATCGAAGGGGGCCTATATATTTATGAGAGTTTACTTAAACTCCCTTCATCTGATAATGCTGTTGTCAGGTTATTTATTACCCTGTTGTTTTTTAGCCACGTTTCGTGGTTCAGTTGAGATTTCCGATGTCATCAAGAGGAGGCACCGTTGACTATAAATTTGAGACGAAAAGTGGCCAGTGTTCAACCAATTTAAAACTTAAGAAAATATGTGCGGTTGAAATTTTATCAGTGGGAAAATATGGACAGATGAGAAAACAGTCCTGGGAGGGATAGTTCACAGCTCTAGGGGAAAGAGTTTACACAGCAGTTTTAAATCTGGCTTGTTTAACCCAGAAGAAACATTTTGGGGTTATTGAGGGAACGCCGGTTGGTGGGTTTTCACCAGCGGCTTAGAAAGCAGACGATAAGGTGTGGACGCGCTCGAGCGATTTCCGTGCACCTACCTTGGCGTTTATCATAGAACACAGGCGACTGACGTGCAACACTGATCTGCAGCAAGACGATAAATGCTAGAGTTTGAAGAAGCAGCGAACATGTAGAGACTCCAAGTTGTTGTGGCTTCATCACGACACACAGTACTCCTGTCGACAGCCACAATCCAGGCTGAAAAGCTTGCACACAATCACACACAAGATTTCGCTGATTTCTCCAATTTTCACCGGGTTAAAGCCTGTGTCTTCGGCCTGACCATACAACGAGTTAACATTTTAACTGCCTCTGTGATTTGGAGTCTGTCGTCTGCTCGTAGAGCCGACACTTCCGATCGCATGTGAGCCCCAATGAAAGTTCGCGGTTCTGTTTGGACGACACCATTCACGGTGGAGAAAGAGGGAGGTTGATCAAGGGGGGTTATTCGCTGGGCTAGGCGAACGCTGTGTGTCCTCGGCCGACACGGTAAGAATGGGTCGGCGAGATAACAGAGGCTTCTTGTCCAGTTAACGCTCTGTCAGTAGATTTGGAAGGTTGTGTCATTCTATAACGGCGGTGAAGCGTGTATAAGGCACTTTCCACCCTCTGGGAAATGGGAACGCTCTCAAATAACAGTATTACCTATCTGAATGCACGGGGTGCAGGCACACACTCCGTAGCTTAGCTGCTGCTGGGACGAAGCGAACTCGCCTGAACAATTGTTTCTCAACTGATTCGTTGATAGTGCTGGAATTCTGGGGGTAAAAATCAGAGAAAATTTACCAGCTGCTTTTGATTTGAAATTATGGACAGGCTAGTCGTGCAGATATCAGGTCGATAGATGTAGGACGACTCATCTCAGTTACACATGCAGGGATGATAACGGCGAGAGTCGATGGTGTACAAGTGAGGAACAGAGTGGCGCGAGAACAACGGTATATACGTACATTCATACCAGTGTACTTTAACAGCCGTTCTGCTGTCGCTGTAGAAACATGCATGGAAGATAACGAATATGTGACAGACTGTGTTGGTATGGGTAACTGTTTTACGTAAGACTGTTCGTGTTTGGTTGTTTTTCTCGTCTCCCACCCGCCCTGAATTTTCATTTCGACGTGAAACAATAAAAAGGTTTTAATATCTCAATTTTCCCCTCCGCTTCGAAAGCGTTAGCACTTATGGGGTAAAATTTATACTTTTACCCTGCACACACATAAAAAAGAGGTCAGATCTTTTGTATCTAGATGTATTTAAAAAATTGTTTCCGAAGTAAAGTTATTCGATCTACACAATCATATATGTTAAAGACGATCACCAATTTTAAAATCTAAAGTTTAAAATTTCATAAAATAAGTTACACAATTTACGAAATTGTTTTTCGCCCGCCCTCTCTCTTGCTGGTTGAGATTCGAGATCAGAAACATAAAATTAACACGGATGGCCTAATAGTCACATAATTGGTGATATAACTTCATACACTTTGGGGAGAGTGGTCTGCGCGTTGGTGTGGATCTAGGAGGTAACAACATATTTTAATGCAAATGTTTAACATGTATAAAAAAACATTAAAAAACTGTTTACTTTCGAATCTGAGTGTAAGTACGCGTGTGCGAGTGTGAAACGGTGAACAAGATGGATTATCTTTTCTTTGGTGAAGGTCAGATTTTAAGTGCAAGCTTTGATAAATCATCTCTCCCACCCACTCAACCGCCAACATAGGGCTACATGGGTACGCTGAAATACCATACTGACAATGCTGTGACTAGGTAATGTGTCAGAAGAGGCACATCTTCCTATGTTTCTCCATGTTTCATGAGTAAAACTTCCAACTGTCCTTTCTGTCCCCGGTCACAGAAGGTCTGTAATACTGCTGACGGGACAATTTTAACCCTCTCACTGTTTGCACACCACTATCACCCCATGACCCAATCCCCACCCAATCCCCACCCCATCCTATCATCCCGTCCCCATCCTATCATCCCGTTCCCATCCATCCCTACACAATCATCCCACCAACGAATCCCAACTCAACCACCCCTCCCACCCCATGACCCCACCCTACCCATCGCCACCCAACCACTCCTCTCCACCCTATCACCTCCCCTTACCCATCGCCACCCAATCCCTCCGTCCCCACCCTATCACCCCGTCTTACTCATCGCAACCCAATCACTCCGCCCCCCACCCTATCACCCCTCCCATCACAATCACCCTCCCTACCCATCAACTAATGTCCCCCCAATCACGCCGTCCCCCACTCCTGAAACTGGTCATCAGTCCTACATGGGAAGTCCGTATTACGAGACTGTGGAACTGTCCTGATTGACGAATCATGGGCACGATCTGTACCAACATTTAGACTCTTGAAATGAATTCAGGAACTTTGAGTACTCTAACAGTCATCCACGACTGGTGTCATATTTCGGAGATGAAGTTCCAACATTTGTCACTGGTAAGAATGGGCAAATAGTTCCCGAGGACAAGGCAGAGGAACTAGCATATATAGCCTGTGGAAAGACCACTGCCACAACTAAGGACTGACTGACTGACTGAGTTTGGTTTTACGCCGCTTTTAGCAATATTCCAGCAATATCACGGCGGGGGACACCAGAAATGGGCTTCACACATTGTACCCATGTGGGGATTCGAATCCGGGTCTTCGGCGTGACGAGCCAACGCTTTAACCACTAGGCTACCCACCGCCCCTCACAACTAAGGAACATGTCGATATAAGTCATGATAATCATAATGGATACTCAATGACCACCACACATAGCCAATCCAGTAGCAGTGTCTCATGGGAGAGTTCAGCACTTTACATGAATGAACTTGACATGGCAATGGTTTCAGCAGTTCTAAGGATTCTAACTTCTGATTTAAGACACTCTAGGTTAATCATTTCTTGTCAGACTTGGAAGCAGGGGACAGTGACACTGTCATGGATTCCAACGAAAGAAATACATTTGTGGAAACTACCTCCAGAAAGATCAGATCATCAATAGCCAACATCATACTATAGTATGACCAGAAATTATTGAGAATTTTAGGAATATGTTTAATTGGATTTCTAGTATAAACAACCTTGACCAGCTATCAAGTGCGTGGTTTCATTCAAGAGAGACAACTCCGTTAATCCTTTTTCATTAGTTTGTGAAGAGTTATCCCCCTTTGTTTACTTGCGAGCAGACGACATTTTCAGTGATCCTCAGTATGGATGATTTAGAGAAGAGGACGTTGATTTTAGAGTATTATAACAAGGACATCAGATCAGCTAAAGTGATTTCAAGTAGAACAGGCATCCCTTTGTCCACTGTTTATCGTGTTTTGAAAAACATTGCAAATGGATATGGCATTGAGCACCAGGGAGGCGCAGGTAGGCCCAGAAAATTGACTGTCGGTGACAGGAGGCGGCTTGGTATTCTTGTTTCTAAAAACAAACGAAGGAGTTTAGAAAAAGGCTGGATATGATTGATAGAGGAACTGTGGCTATCTGTAAGGAGACAATTAGAACTGAGCTGCATGCAATGGGTTGGCAGACAAGTCGAGGAATTCCATCACCGATCATGAAACTTGAACAAAAGGAGCGAAGGTTGAACTGGTTTCGGACCCAAAATGACATTATTAGATTGGCCAAGCTTTAGCCCTGACCTAAATCCAATAGAAAATGTTTGGGGACTTATGAAGGAAAGTGTCAATTAGAAAAATCTGACAAATATTGCTAAAATGAAAGAAGAGGTGGTCCGATATTGGGACAGCATGGACCACGACTTTCTAACTTCTTTGATCAGTAGTATGCCCCGCCGCATTGAAGCCTGCATTTCTGCCCATGGTGACTTGACAAAATACTAACTGTTCACCTGTCTTTGAATCTGGAGTTATGTTCTGCTAATATTCACATTTAATACGTGAGTAATGAGTGAAAAATAATAAAAAAATTACAATCTTTAAATTCTCAATAATTTCTGGTTGTACTGAAAAACGTCGTGCAAAACTCACTAAAAGTATGTTGTTTTGGCAGGACACACCACCCAAATTCTCTGTCTTGCAAGCATTATTCAAATCAAGATGACGACATTACTTACTTCTGTTGGGGATGTTTTACATAACCATGAGGAAGCCTTCTCTACCAGTGGGATCATTACCACCAGATAGCACTTCCATAGACCCATAGACATACAGACGCACGCACGCACGCACGCACGCACGCACGCATACACACGATTCATGCAATAAACCTATAGCTACCCTAACATGCTTTAAAGGTACCCCCATCATTGGAAAACTCTCCTAACATGTCGCTTTAGTTACCGCTGTCATTCACCTGCAGCAACCCTGACATAACCTTCAATGTCCGTATAATATTCCCATTGCCAAACAAACATAATCATTAGGTACTCCTGCCATGGCCCTTAACTGCACTTATAACCCTTGGGTACCCCTGCTATGGGCCCATAGCTTCACTAACATAACCCTCAGGTACCCTGCCATAGGCCCATAGCTACACTAACATAACCCTCAGGTACCCTGCCATAGGCCCATAGCTACACTAACGTAACCCTCAGGTTACCCTGCCATAGGCCCATAGCTACACTAGCATAACCCTCAGGTACCCCTGCCATAGGCCCATAGCTACACTAACCTAACCCTCAGGTACCCCTGCCATAGGCCCATAGCTACACTATCATGACCCTCAGGTACCCCTGCCATAGGCCCATAGCTACACTAACATGACCATCAGGTACCCCTGCCATAGGCCCATAGCTACACTAACATAACCCTCAGGTACCCCTGCCATGGGCCCATAGCTACACTAACATGACCCTCAGGTATCCCTGCCATAGGCCAATAGCTACACTAACATAACCCTCAGGTACCCCTGCAATGGGCCAATAGCTACACTAACATGACCATCAGGTACCCCTGCTATGGGCCCATACCTACACTAACATGACCCTCAGGTACCCCTGCCATAGGCCCATACCTACACTAACATGACCCTCAGGTACCCCTGCCATAGGCCCATAGCTACACTAACATAACCCTCAGGTACCCCTGCCATGGGCCCATACCTACACTAACATGACCCTCAGGTACCCCTGCCATAGGCCCAAAGCTACCCTAACATAACCCTCAGGTACCCCTGCCACGGGCCCATAGCTACACTAACATGACCCTCAGGTACCCCTGCCATAGGCCCATAGCTACACTAACATAACCCTCAGGTACCCTTGCTATGGGCCCATAGCTACACTAACATAACCCTTGATTATCCTTATCCTGGATCTAAGGCTACACTAACGTAACCTGTAGATGGCCATATCATGCGACGGCAAATGACTTCACATATCGTTTCATAAATCATCTTCAGGAATAGACCTGATACTGTTATGGCAGAAACTTATATTTCTTCAGCGTTCCGTGATTGCTTTAATATTGCTCCAAGTCTCCTGTACTGTGGGCGGCCCTGGTGATTTATTAGATCGCCTGACAGGAA